TGGATATAGCCGGGGAACCCCATAATGGGATGGGATCAAATGACGTTACATTGAGGGATTGTACTATAACTTCAGCAGGGGGAGGATAGGTTGGACATATGTCAGGTTATTTTCTACGGCCGGCCACACCAAGTAATTGCTATGGATGACGTCCACTGGAGACCTTAAATCTAATTACCTTAAATTTAAGGCAAGCGCGCAGTAAAAACACGAAGGGCCGAAAAACGAGATGCCTAGATTTGGAATACACTAACTGTAGAAGTACAAATGTAAGGACACAAAGAACACAAGAAACAAGTCTTCTATTTGTCATAAAGAGTTAGACAAATTAACAAAACAGCAGTAGTCACCCTGTTTTGATTCTTTTCTTTATAACATCTTCTCTTATTATATTTTGCGGCGCTGTCGTGACACTTTCAACACAGTAAGAATTTCTTGAACGTTTTTTTTCCAGTAACAGTCCAAACTCAAATAACGTAGGGGGGGGGCTAACACGGGTGACGACGTATCTGTATAATCTGCGGCAAACCGTTTCATGGTGTTCTGTACCATAAAAATAGTACAGAGATTCTTTTGTTCTTTAGACCAAATTGATTGTTGAAAAGAGTGAAGAATATGCATGTTAATTTCTCTAGAACGATGTACCTCTGACGAAGACATGAGATCTCCGACCTCTAGTTTGACCTTAGTTTTGTTAAAAAAATATACATTTGGTGATGTATGGTGAGATATGATGCCACTTTTTTCCCTGTTTTTTGCATAGGTCTGAAATGGAATATGTATCAGCTGAAGCGTCTCCCCTTCGAATTTCTGTGCGCAACGAAGTCGTAAAATCGCACGGTTCATTTTGCGACGGCCCCAGACGGTGCATCTTGGGAAGTGTGAAAGGTCGTGACTGAACAAACGCGCCCCAAAGGATCCTGGGACGTAAATACTAGTAATGACGCAAACAAAATGGCGTCAAAAATTTGCATCGGTTCCCAGAATGCAACATTCAAGATGTCGACGAGAGACGAGGAAGTGAACAATTTTTTTTATACCACATATTCACACCACATTTGATCCACGAATTTCTACGTCGATTATACATACATGTATATGTTTATGGAGCTCTACCCTAGCAAAAGCAAAACCAAATGAGATTTGGGCAAAGACTGTTTCTACGCCTTGAATAGACGGGCGTCATCGATCTTTTTTTCGGACTTCTCAGAACCCGACACAGTTGTCTCATATCTCGGTTTTCTGCTAAGGTATCGATTTTTGCGATGCCTTTTCTCAAATGGAAACTACCTGACCAAAGCTTCTCTACTCTATTATGCTCTTTCCCTACCTCTCTGTTCGAGTTCCCTGTCTCCTGTTCCGTATCTTCCTCGCCAAACTGACAGCCGTCTCCAACAGTAGAGGGTTCTCTACCGCTGGCAAGGAGTTGGGAACGGTACGAAGGGGGTAGAACATTCCTGATCTGTCGCTGTCCTATCTTTCCACCGCGGAGTCCAGCAGGTAGCAGTCGATGAGTCCTGGATAATTTATGTTGGCCCTGTTGGCCCTTACTCCCTACTGTGACGAAGTCACATGACCTGTAGAACAGTCCATTCAACAAACAAGGTTTAAACCTCCTTGGTTCATTAAAAGGCTATCTAGAATATACGTGAACCATCCACCAAAACGTTTGACAATCAAGTCATATGATCATAACTTTATTGATGAACAAGGAACTGGATGCTGTAAAAACATTTAACACCCCTGTTTCGTATTGGTTCGAGACATGACGTGACATCTCCTTCAGGTGGACGCACAGGGGATTCCCCGAGGTCTTACCGGATGTTTACGCGTAAAGATAAAAAAACTTTTTAAAAAAGGACAACAATAGTTTTTCCTAAAAGAACTTTGATAGCCCTTCTTTTGTGATCACTTCGGTAACCTATTGCATTTAGTTTTAATCTTTTTGCCAAAACATTTCGTCTTGCTAGACCCATCATCCTTTGCGCGCGGCAGCACCAGCGAGGCTGACCTCCGCCTCGTTCTCGACCAGCTCGCCATCATCCTATATATTCTTGTAGTTCCCGTTGAGGCTGCTGGTCACTTCACCGGATCATCATTCCCGGCATGTGCGGAAAGTCCAAGGCCGTATTGTCGTACATGATTCCGTATGCTTGAAGGAGTTTACCGTGGGTGCAGAAACCACCTCCTCGCGCTGCCATCACCACACTCCCAGACTCCTTTTGCAGGCTAGGCTGAAAGTAAATCGGCCTAAAAGGAGCCAGAGAAGGAAGCCGACCAGAGAAGCTCCATTTGCCTGCACGTCCGATTTCTACTATTTATTCAGCCCGCAAAAGGAGTCTGGTGGAGACTGTCTGCGGAGCATCGGATCCGAACCTCGTACACTACCACACTTAGCCGCGGCGACTGTTGCGGGGCTTCTCTTTACTTACAGTCTTTTACGTTAGCCCTAAAAGAGATCCTAAAAGGCTGCAAGCAAGAGAAGCCCTGCAACAGTCGCCGCGGCTATGCCACACTCCGTAAAGAACAGATCGTAAAGAACAAAGGACTTTATTATAGGTCACCGGTTTGCACCGCTGCCAACATGCAAAAGGCCCACTGAAAACATCTTTTTTATTGGTATATGTGTCACGAAGTGACAGTTATACATTAACTTAAGCACTTGTACTTTACCTTATACATTGTAGTAGCTATAGTTAGAACCCTTCCTTCGGGCGGGGGTTCGCTGCCTGTTCGAACACACCTTGCGCACGTGATCACCACGTGCGCACGCGGTGTTGAGCAGGTGTTCGAACAGGTAGCAACGACACCTGTTCGAAGGAAGGGGTTCTAGAAAGGTAACGTTGGGGAGGGGAGACTTGAAAAGATTAAAGAAACGACAGGACGACATCTCTGAGTCTCCGTGTCTTCTCTACGCCACCGTGACATTTGGTAGTACGGCTGGGGTAGTCCAGGATATAGACCTGACTACACTCCACGTCCAGCGATGAAGAAGAGGAAGATGATGACTTCCGTCTGAAGCGCCAACCCGAGGTCATCATCCAACCGTCCGCTTCAAGTCCCACGGCCGCAGACATGGCTGAGGTCGACGACCCCCGTCTCCGACGTCTGCTCAAAGCACGCACCGCGGAAGACGAGAGCAGCGATGAAGAGTTGGACAGGGTTGCCCGACACCAGAGAGTTCTGGACCCAGAGGTTCAGGAGGAGGCAGAGGGAGACGATGAACCGGAGCGGCTGGCACGGGAAGAGGAGAGCAGCGGAGAGGAGGATTTAGA